CGCCAGCATGGGATTTTGGGAAACCCACTCTGTAAATGGATTTCCTCATGGTTACCAGTTGGGCTACGACCCACAAGGTCTGCAGTTTGCAACCACCAGCTGCTCTGTGGGAAAAGGCCAGGGCTTTCTACTCCCATAGACTGTCTCAGAAACCCACAGGGGCTGTTCTGCCCTGTCCTATAGCATTGCTGTGAGTCAGCATCGACTCGATGCGAGTGAGGTTTTTTTGGTTTGTTTGTTTAGACAAGCCATTGGAAGAAGCCAGGCTCAGGGCAATAATGGAGAAGGGTAGCACACAGGAGTACATTCTGGAAGCCCAGTGTTAACATAAATGGAAACGTTCTGTAGTTCACGGTCGGGAAAGAGAAGAATAGAATTGGAAGGTGGGTAATTTTGGTTCTCTGTGGCAAACAGGAGGGCAGGGGTACTTTTAAGACTTATAAAGACAGCATGCATCGCTGTCAGGTTGATTCCAACTCATGGCAACCCCGTGTGCTACAGGGGGCCACTGCTCTATCATGTTTTCTTGTTGTAATCTTTGCAGAAGGGAGTCCTGGTGGCAGAGTGCTTTAGCACGCAGCTGCTAACTTGAATTAGGTCAGCAGTTCGAACCCACTCACTCCGCTGCAGGAGAAAAGACCTGGTGATCTGTTCCCTTACAGAATTCAGCCTAAAACAGCCCTACAGGACGCACTCCTCTGTCCTACAGGCTGATTCTTCTTGGAATCCACTCAACAGCATACGGTAACAATAGCAACAACAGCGATCATAACGAGATAGGTTGCCAGTCCTCTCTTCCACTGCACTGCTGGGTGGGTTCAAACCACTAACTTTGGTTCGCCCTTGAGCTCAAATTTGGGGCTGCTTAAGAGCTCTACTGCCATCAAGTCAACTCTGACTCCCAGTGACCTCATAGAGGATTTCTGGGGTGATACATTTTCTTGGCAACAGATAGACATGTTTGTAGGAACAGATCTTTCGCCTATGGAGTGACTGGTGGTTTTGAACTACCGACCTTGCGATCAGCAGCCTAGCACTTACCCAACAACAGCACCAAGGCTATAAGCATAACGATAATACTAATGACCACGAATACTCTCCAGCACAATGTGCCAGGCATTGCTCTATGCCAGTGTTTCTCAAAGTGGGTTCCTGGGCCAGCAGCTTCAGTGTTACCAGAGAACACAGCAGAAGAGCAAATTCGCTGGCCCTGCCTTGGATGAATCGAACCAGGGACCCCGAAGTCCATGTTTTTGCCAGTCCTCTGTGATGCACGCTGACGTTTGAAAACTAGCGCTCTAAGCATGATTTCGGTATGAACTCATTTTCTTCTCCCAACACCCTTATGAGGCAGATTCTGTTATTATTCTCTTGTCCAGAGGTGCAAAGAAGGCAGGCAGGCTGCCTGGGATCACCCAGCGAGTGAGAGGGGAGCAAAGAACAGACTCCACTCGTTGGGCCGCATGAATCAATCCTCTAGGATTATACTTGAAATGTTGAAATGCTCCCGAGCGCTAGAAACTTAAACTTGGATCACAATAAAATGTGAAATGAAATAAAATGTTCTCAAGACATTTCCCTGGGGAAAATCTCAGTAAGGAGAAAATTCAGCATTTTGTTTCAAGTGTCCAGACTTCGATATGGATTGTTCACTTATAAAGCGATTTAACAAATCTCAGCTGCACTCTTCGTTGTCTGAAACCATGCTAACTGGCCGCATGTACCTAGAGTGTATTCTTGCATCACGCAAGTTTGGGGTTAGCAGAGTGACGAGGCTGCTAGACCCTGCCTGGGGTAGGATACAGTGTCTTGTTTGGGAATTTGGGTGGGAACCGTGGGCTCAACTTGCTAGGCATTGGGTATGGATAGTAATTAGTAAACCTGGTGGCATGGATGGTTAAGTGCTCAACTACTAGTCAAAAGGTGAGCCATTCAACGTCCCCCTGCCCCTCAGCACCTTGGAAGACAGGCCTGGTGATCTGCTCCCAAAGGCCATAGCTTTGTGGACCCTATGGGGTGATGCTACTCTGCATCCATGAGCTCACCATGAGTTGGAATCAACTCGACAGCCATTAACCACCGTGGTAAGGAAAGCCTGGGAAAAGACCTTTGGAGAGATGGACGTTGGTAGGCAGAGGAGGGTTGGACAGCGTAGGCAGCCCAGCTGCATGGATATCTTGTGAGTGAACATAGTTCTGTGGCAGAAATTGCCAAGCCAAGTGCCTACAGCCTCCAAGCCTGAGATGGTGAGCTCAGAGCCCCGGCCCTTTGTAGGGCTGAATTCCAGTCTTTGCTAGAACACTTGTTAGCTGGGTGACCTTAGGGCTTTTGCCCCAGCTTTCTTAGCAATAATCATGGCACGTCCTCCATCGGGCTGGCGTGGTCACTAAATGAAATGACGTGTGCGGAGTGCTTGGTTTATAGTGAGGTGTCGACAAATGATAGCTATTCTTTTTGGTCTTTATTATTATTACTAAAATAAACCAGAAGTCTGTAACGGGAATCACACGAGCTTTGTAGTCAGACTGACTGGGGTGCAAATTCGGTCTCACGTTTGCTAGTGACGTGGCCCTCTGTACACTTGCTCCTCAGAGCCTCCATTTCTTCATCTGTAAAAAGCCACCAGCTTAATGGCAGAGGTTAAATTGATAATACCTAGAAAGGGCTTAGTACAGTGCCTGACAGAGCTGCAAACCAATAAATCCTTACTATCATTCCTCTCATTATTCTCTTGCTTCTTACCGAGAAGTCTTAGAAATGATTGCTTACCGGTTCAGAATTCGTTCTAGGTGTTCGAATTCCCAGAATTCATGGTGGCAGACTGGTTAGGCACTGGGCTGCCATCTGAAAGGTCAGCCATTCAAAACCACCAGCTTCTCCGAGGAAGGAAGATGGCTTTTTAAGTCCCCTTCACAGTCACAGTCTCAGAAACCCACATGGGCAGTTCAGCCCAGCCCTATAGTCACTCTGAGTCAGCATGGCAGTGAGTGAGTGAGTGAGCGTGTGGACACACACCTCTGGGAGAAAGGGGAGCGCTGTGCTCCACATAGCCCCCCAGCCTTCTTGGTTGCCCGTTTCTCTGGGTCCCTGCAATGAGGTTGGGGAGGTTGTCCACTTGAGGGGAGACACAACTTTGGCAAGCCCTCCTCTGCCTCCCCCTGCTTCCTGTCGGCCCTCCATCATCAGCCGGGTCTGTGCTACACACTGAGGATGTGTGTTCTGGGTTGACTTTTCCCAACTAGCTTTGTTTGCATTTTCCCCTCACTGAGCCTCATTTTTCTGTTTTCAGCCCATTTTACTGTGTCGTAGAAAAATAGGTGTGCCAGCTGTTTTTCACGTCCCTGCTTCTCTGCCACTCCATTAAAGTGCTGTTTACTCCATGTTTCCCTTCACTCACAAGGTGTTGGAGGGGATACATTAAGTAACAACGGGCCTAGCTCCAAGTTCCAAATCATTTCCTAACTGGCTACTAATCTGTGTGGCCCTGTTTGGGCTTGAAGCCTCCATGGGGGGGGGAGTTTCAGTGTCATCCTGCAGAGAGTGGACAAGAGGTGAAATGGGTCCTTCTCTAGCTGACCTTCAATGAAGATAATGTTACCAACCTGCTGTGATTGTGGTTCGGTGCCGTCTATCAGTTCCAATGCTTAGCAACCTAAGGTGTGATCCAAGAGGTTGCATGAGATGAGAAGATGCTCAGATACACAGAACGCACCACCGTCGTTAGTTACAATTGGAGAGGGCTGATTTTCTTTCTTTCTTTCTACACCTTACGTGTGTACTCCTCGGTGGTTCTGCATGGTCTGTGGCCTGCTAGTAGGAGAAGCCCTGCACTTAGCCGCTTAAAAGAAATCTGTGATTTATGCCTTCATCTCCTGTTGCCTCCCCAGTCCCATTGCTGAACGGAAATCATCAAAGTGCTTAAAGAACAAAGAGTGCTCGCAGTCATGCATTCAACCAAACTGTGGCTTGGCTTTTTCCCTGGTTTGATGGGAG